GGACTAAGCGGTAGAAAATGAATGACCAAAGGGGTGTGTAGCTATTCATGTATCTAAATGCCTAAACACTGTGTATAAATTCTGTCAATCCGTGCAGACCTTAATCTTCAGCAGCAAAAGTCATTTACAGTATACCCTATATCAAAAAATTTTTAACTGACTTTTATCTCATGCTCGTTAACAGATTATGACATGTGAAGTCCCTGAGGAATCACCTTATTTTATCTATAAAGTATGCAATCGCAGCCTAGATAATATGGCATATATTGTGTTTCTGTACAGATATTCTAGTAAACAAGCAGGCCAACATATAGACTTTTTCTGCTGGCCTCAATAGTCGTGTCATGGCATGACTTTTTGTGATCGCATGGGATAATCACACAGACTTGCGATATTGCCATCATGCTAGGCAGCAGGGCTGACCTGTGTGAAGGCAGGTTACTAGCAACAAAAGGTGCCATTTTTTAATGGATGCCAACACGGGGGTCAAAGCAGTGCCCCCACAGACAGGACAACGAGATGGGATGCCAGGATGTGTTTACTGGCAAGCGTCCTGCTGTATTTTCTATATTTACAGCTATGGCAAACTGAATATTTCCTTCTGTTGCTAAATATTAAACAAAATATCCTAGATTTGATTCAACCTTTGTTGCTTGTTCCATTTAATGCACTTCTTTCGCCCTACTTCCCTCTTTACTGTCTGTATCTATACTGTCATTATCAATGGCACAAAAAATCCAAACCAGAGAACTCAGAGGCTTTTATTGTAAAATGGCTATAAGAAATGCAAATGTTTGTCACTGTTTATTAAATTTCAGTAGTCTGATACCATTGCTGGTTGTATTAAAATATATTTGTATCACTAGGTATGATCCGTTTAAATAAATAACAAAACAATGGTACAAGGACAAAACAGCCACAACGAGCTATTAGATGAAGAACTGCAGGCAACATGCTCTTATTTCAGTCTGTGTCAAGTAACACACCTCAAGGTATCCACTGTAGTGTTGCATTGGAATGGAAATCTACAATCATATTGTGGCACAGGATTAGAAAACCAGCCATGGTAGAAGAGCCTCCAGATTTCACAGGACTGCAGGAATAAATCTGTTTGATAGTACCAAACTGTATAAGAATAAGGCTGAAAAGAGGGCACTTGTAGCAAATTCAGTCACTCAGATAAAGTAAAATACATGCCTTGCATTCAAGAGTTCACTGAGTCCAGTTCAATGTTCTTAATACTTCCCAGGAGCCCTGTTTGCCAGAGTACAATCAGCATGTTTGCATGCTGAATCCCTGCAGCTTGAAAATGCTTCCCCTAGACTGTTGTAATTTGTTGAGTGTGGAGATATGTTGGTAGAGAGATATAAAATATCCCTCCTGTCAAAGTTAGATGTGAAGTCTTGATTTATGGTTTTACTGTTTTATTACCCTGATGAGTCATTTTTATAGTTGTGCGTCTGCAGGTGTCCAACACCCATGCTGTTTTCCGGGCAATATTATTTTATTTTATTTTGCAGCTGTCTACAATATAAGTACAGTTTCTTGTTGGAATGGATGGGCAGACTAGGGGGTTATTACATCAAAGAGTTTTTACATTATTATAAAAATCATGTTACTTTACTGTACAACCAGGGAGGGGTGTTCTGTGTTTAAAGTGGCCAGATGCGTTCTCATACAGTTTCCGGTGGTCGGCTGAGACCATTGAACACCCTGAGAGAGAGCCGTGCCTCAAACTCATGGTGGCCGGGTGTGAAGCTTGTTCCTTGGGGGCTCTCAGGCCTTCACCGGGTGTCTTGGCTGTGTGGGGACTTTAATCATATACAGTATGTGGCTCTGGTTGGCGTGTGTGTGACTAAGAATGAAAGGTAAGTTTTTCAATAATGTATTCCTAAAGTGGTTTTAGAAAATTTAATAAATAAATAAGATTAAATCATTTAATAGATTTTACATCAATTAGATGAATAATCACCTCTTATTATTCATCAATTAGATGAATAATGAGGTGATTAGAAGCAGTAGCTGTGACTGAAAAAATAAGATAATTATTCAATAAAAAGGAATTAACAAGATTGCTAAATACAGCGAATTTCTTCATATCAGATTGTCAAGTGCCTGTGACTGTCAAGTTTAAAAGTTTGTGAGATCAGTGTTTAACTGAATAAGGTAAGATTCTCTCCACAAAAATAGTTTTTGATTATTTATTTAATCTTGGTAACTACTATATTTCCCCTCTAATCCAACAGCTGTGTGTCGCTCCCCGGTGAGCAGAGCAGTGGCAACCACCTGTGGAAGGGTTGTGCCCCACTGCACCAAACCTGGAAGCGTATGCAGCAGACAACGGCTTCACAAACTTTTGTAGGGACACAAAACAGTAAGTTTGAGTGAGAATACATTACAGATCAGTGTAAAAAATGGTAGTTTACGTCTTTCTTTTCCTTCTACACAGTGGCGTTCATTGGTGCTTCAAAGTACTCTGTGTGTTGTCGCTGTCTGTGCCATCAGACTGTTGGCCTGTGGAGCGTGTAGACTTCAGCCAGCCCTGGCCTGCTTGGGACAAGGAAGAACAGATGGATTGGGAGTGATCATTTAATTTATTGCACAAGATAGTAGCGTCTTCTGTGGCAAAGTTTTTATGATGTTTTGGCCGAGAAAATAAATGTCAAATTTATTGAAGGAATTCTGATACTGTATTTTTTTCACCTGGGAAATCACGTTTGATTATATTGGATGGAGTAGTTACACGCTGTATCCAATCATCCTGAAATTGTAAAGATTTTTACTCGGTACAAGCATCACAGAAAAATTTGTGTAATTTTTGACTCAATATTTTTTAACAAGGAAAACAGAACCAGCAGCCTAAATTGTATACACCTGTTTTTTTTTTAAGAATCCTCATGACAAAGTCCAAATCAATGTTTTAGTTATGTGTCCTCAGCAGAAAAACTATTTCATGGAGAGTTACAATGACGTGAGCCTTTTAAATACTTGTTAGTGGACCTGGCACAGAGCGGCCCTGACCATCTGCGCCTGTGCAGTGGCTTGCCCCCTGGTGAGAGACCAGCTGTTTATACTCCAAGCAGCAAGAGGAAGTAAAACCAGTACAGGGTGTATTTCAGCGGTGTAGGCACAATGTTGGTGAGATTAAGATGTAACCTGACTTTGCTTAAAGCCTTATTAACATGTAGGGCTAAAGACAGAAAAAATGATATTGGCTGCAGCATCTAATGACCGTATACATACACTATGTGAAATTGCTTTGAATGGACTTAAAGTCCGCATCCCGCTGTTGGCTGTTCAGTTTAAGAAGCTGCAAAAATGGAAAGGTGTGATCAGGATTTTAGTTGATAAAAGGGCAAATCTGAGACAGAAAAAGAAGCATTTAACTCAACATGGTGGCTTCATTCTACCTCTACTCACGGCGGCTCTGCCTCTTGACAGTGAACTGGTCGGGGGTCTAGTAGTAGATAGTAGATTAGTAGATAGTTTTGTGTGTCAGACCTAAGAAATGGCTGCTCAAAAGATGTATCTGATTTCACCCGACCAGCTGAATAAACTTCATGCTGGGAAGTCTATACATGATAATGTTGAAATGGAGCTTGATGAGTTTTATTTTATATATTTGAGTGAGTTTTACTTTGAAATCTATGGAACTGAGAAGCAGGCACTTGCAGAAGAATATGCCAGAGTGTAGCAGACCGACTACTTCAAACTCTCGAAACCACACGCTGAAGTCCACTCTGGAAACTAAGCCTCTATTAAGTCTCTATTAAGCCTGTCTTCATCCTCAGCCAGAGAATCCATCTGCCCCGCTGTGTCTTTGAAAAAAAATCCGGCAGAAAACTGATTATTCAGGGTGTCTTTTGAATAATTCAAAAGTGTCTCTAGCATAATGCCTTAGGGATGTGTCATGCTGGATTGAGGGATGAGTTTATCCCTGACCGTGATGTCACATTGTGAAAAAATCATATTTAACAGATAATTAATAATTCTGGCCACAGCGTATGCAGTGGCCAACAGTTTGTTATCTTCAACCGAAGCAGCAGTAAGGTTGCATTTAAATCATCATAACTGGTTGAATCAGCTTACTAAAAAAATTCTGTGCAATAGTGACTATGGGCCGCAACTCAAAATATCCTGAATCCTCCATGTGTTGAATTAACAGTGCTGTGAAAAGATCCCGCTGCATCAAGGTGCACTCTGCTGACTTTGAGTGAACCAGATCCATTCTCTAAAAGATGTCTTCTCTTGTGAGATGTCTCTCTTACATTTACCATGGTGTTGTGATGCATGAATGCCTGCAGAGTGTTTTTTGAGATCATTAACCGCCAAGGGTGGACTCCCTGCCTGACGGCCTGTAGGTTAGACCTGATCTGGTAAAACAATGAGTCCCTGTACAGGAACATTCTTGGACATGCAGTAACCTCAGGCCCTGTATTTTTCTTCATATCCTCTGGTCACAGTTGTTAAAGTTTAGTCCCCCTCACCAGGAGGGTGAGGGAGAACTGAGGTTGGACTCAAGAGTGCTGACCCAGGTGCTAGTAAAAAACAGGTGGCTTATTGGTGGGGATTACAAAAAGGGACAGAGTCAATGAACACATACAACCAGGGCTGGGCAAAGGCGGCGGCGGAGAACAGGATGACCAAGGGAGTAGACAGACTAACGGCAGGAACCAGGAGAGGAGGACGACGAGGATGGATAAGTGAAAAATATAAGAGGGTAGCGAACGACCAAGGAAAACAACAGCATAGGAACTGTCAGCGTTGAATTCTATGTACACATCGCTAAGCTTGTAGAAACCAAAACATGCAAAGAGGTCCACAGCACAGAAACTGTCAGTATGGCCTTCTATAAACGTATAACACAAAATAACATAACCAATGTACAAAATGCGATCCACAGCACAGGCACTGTCAGCGTGGAAAACAAAACGACGTCCAATACATACCACGAATATATTTTTAAATGGTTATCTATGTCCAATAATAAATATTTTCTATGGGAATCACCATGTCTCGGTGATGTAGTTATGTACATTTGTGGACTTCAGTCCTGCCTGTAGTTTGTAGTCCTGTGAAACCTAATTTCCTCAGTCTGTTCCTGGTGTTCATCTTACCATGAGGATCCCTGAAGACTGAGGTGCCAATCATGGAGGCTGGTGTTATAAATGAGGTCTGACACTGGGAACCAGAAATCCCTCAGCTGGATGCAGCATCCCCACTTCTTCATTATAGCTTAATTAAGCCACTCAAACACAGATGTGGGTTCTGTATGCTGAGGGTGACACACCTGGCGAATAAACTGATTCTGATTCTGAGGTAGGACTCAAGATTGCTGAAAAAACAGGAAGGCGGTTTTAGCTTTCAAAGTAAAGCCTTCCAAAGTAAAATAACCCCGGGATGACAGCAGTGAAACTAATCACGATTAATTTATAAAATAAAATAAGACAACAATTGCTGACCACTGAATTGCCCTTAATAGTCTTGGTTTTACCCATGGGTTACATATATATAACAGTAAAGTAGGGCAAAGATGGTGGAGGAGACCAGGACAAACAGGTGAGTAGAGCAGACTAACGGTAGGAACCAGGAGAGGAGGAGGATCAGGACGGACAGGGGAACAGACAAGCTAACCAGGAGGATAGGTGAACGAAAAAGGAAATCCACAGCACAGGAACTCTCAGCGTGGATATAAAAAATAACGTCTGGCTAACCTAATGGAAAAAAAACATACAAAGAGATTCACAGCACAGGAACTGTCAGCATGGAAAACAAAATGACGTGCGATACATACCACGAATAAAGGTAATGGTCTGTTACGGGGTATGCAAGTTAATGCTCCGGCGAAGACGGAGCATCTGCCAGAGGTATAAATAAGGAGGAAGGTAATCATATGAATGCACCCCAGCTGTGCGCACCGACAAACGAGTTGCTAATTACTGAATGCAACACAGCTGAGGTGCAGATCCCGCGGGTCGAGAGCAGCAGGGGAGAGAAAGGCAGAAGAGAGGCAGGGCACACCGAGCGGACCTGACATAGAGTTATACTGCAGGACGTGGGGGTCTCCAACTACAGCCTGGAGTTTTTAAATATACCTTGTTTTTCAAAGGTATATTTATGGACAGTATATTACAAACCTATAGACAACATATCTGTGGCTGCAGATGCATCTACAGTATTATATATGATAAATATGGTTGCAGGTGTGTGGGTTGAGTTGTGTTAAGCCAAAGACGTTATGTAGAGAGGTCTATGATTACATGTGTGTGCATGTGTGTGTTGTAGTACTTCCGTTAGGTGAGGTAATGGTCTGAATAATGATGTTGCTTAGTTGCCATCTGGCCCTGTGGATACTCATTCTGCACTGTTGTTTCTAAAATACACAAGAGACCAGTGGGGTGACCTGCCTCTGAGTGTGCAAATAATTTTGCTCTGCTTTTCCCCACAGTGCCAAGTTGTTGGGAGGCTGTGCCTCAGGAGGTAGAGTGGGTTTTCTCCTTCCTGAAAGTTTGATTCCCGGTTTGTCCAGTCAAAGTGTCCTTGAGCAAGACATTAAACCCCCAGTTGCTCCTGGTGATGACACTGTTTGTGAGTGCAAATGGCCAAATAGTGTGAAAGCACTTTGAATGTGCTGCAATGCATAGAAAAATGCTATACAAGTTTAAGACCATTTTATTTCTTTGAACAAGTTGATGTTATGTGCTGAATAAACTTCACAGAGTCAGTCTGTTTTACTCTTTATTCCTTTCTTCTTTATTCACAACCTTTCTGCCATCTGGTCCTATGATTAACAGTTTTTGTACTTCTACATCTAATGAGTTGCACCACAAAGCATCACCTTTTAAATTCTTGCTGTGCAAAAACAGTTTAGTACAAAACATTTATTGCCTCAGTTTACTGTGCTGTACTTAGTTTCTGATGGTAATATAAAAGTAGCAATGTGTTGATTTCCATTTTTGTGGCAGGCACATATCACCATCATTTTCATCACATAGCACTGTGGGTGCTTAAGATCTCATTTCTGAGGGGAATTGCTGAGTCAGGTGAAAATTCTCTTTGGGTTTCGCCAATTGATGATGTATAAATATGGAGGACGCATCACCATTTCATCCACTATGCAAAAGTAAGGCCAAAGCATTGTGAGTATGGTGCCTACCATCTTGGCATTTTGCAACCAGATTATGCGTGGTAGTGCCCGAGTAGTTGAGTGACATATAAGATTGCAAATCAAAGCTGTCAATTCATCCAAAATACTGTACACTCCTTTTTGTATCATTAAATAACTTATTACAAACAGACTTACTAGAAAAATTGCCACTTGTACACATATAGGGGTGATAATATCCACCAAAATACACAGAAA